TTTCTAAACTTGTACATATTTGGAATGTGCCTACTTGGATGCTTCAATTCACAGTGTTTTCATAATCTTGTTTCCCCTTTAAATTTATGCTCATCATCATCATTATAAACCACTTCCGCCATTAGGCGGCGTGGGGACATATCCGCGATTCAGTGTACGTTGGTTGCCACTGGCTATTGCCATGCCGTGAAGGCGTAAAAAAATGTCTTTAGTGTTGTGGATCCACGTTTCAAAGTGTTTGACCTTGAAGCCAAGGTCATTGTGAAGAGTCCGGCTCCGCAGCAAAACGACCCTGCGACCTTCCGATCCGCGGCGAGCGTCTGACTTCAAATCTACAAATGTGAATAGGTTTAACGTCTTTCTCTTCCCTCGTTTCATTCCTACCACTTTCCTTTTCTTTCTTTTTCTTTTTGAAAACTCTAGCCTGACGATATACCTGGTGTTAGCAACTAGTTAACAACAAACACGGAAATCATGCAATGTCACGGGTTGCTAGTACCTAGATGGGTGACCACTTTCAAACGCCACAGTTTCGAACAGCTAACATATTCTCCGACCACCACCAGGAAAGCAAACAGTTTTGCGCATCCCCCCCCCCCCCCCCACACTTTTCTCCCTGGACTATCTCCTTTGTCCTTCCCGAACTGTGTTTTGTCTCCAGTTTTCTTCCTTGTCAAGTCTGATAGTTTCACCATTCCTTGGACCTCGGAGGAGTCCTTTACTCAGACACTTTCATCTCGCAGCCGGTGATTTTACGTATGTGGGATGTAAAAACTGTCCATGTCAAGCACTGGTTGCTTAATAAATGAAATGAATATCCCGTTAATAATCTGTCTCCTTGCACTCATAGTTAGGCCTAGATGTCTTAACTATGGTGAATATTACTATATAAATGCTCTTGCTTTTTGACATGTTATGCTAGTTACCACTTTATGCTAACTGACACATTGCCGTGAAAGGCAATGTACAGACATGAGTGGTGCCCCGTGTTCTTTTGGTTTCCTTTCCATCTCCCCTTACCCTGTCAGGCCTACTTGGGGGTTGTTTCCCCTCCCGTCTTGGCTTCTACTGTAAATATTTGATATGACTCAAAATAATGTTGTTTTACATTATCATCGTTTGGAAAATATTTTTTTTTTTTTTTTTCTGTTTAAAATGTTTAATAATAGCCGAAAGGCACATGTAAATATATCCCGCTGCTTCTCCCTAAAAAAAATCTCTATTTCCATTTCACCCTTTGTTTCCCTTGTCCGCTTACGCTTTCGTGCCCCCTTTTCTCTTCTCCTTCTTCCCTTCTTTCTTTCATTCTCTCTTTCCACTCACTCTGTTGTTGTAAATATATATATATATCTTAAAACCTGTAAAACATTACCATCGAAATGTACCGTTTCCGCTGACAGACCCAACAGCCCCAGCTTTCCTCGAACCCACTGATCCTCTCTGCCTCCCCCTGTCTCTTTTTTCTGTGAAATGTCAGTGAGATTACCTTCAGAATAGCCATTCACACACCCATGTCGGTACGCGATACGGAGTGCAACCTTTCATCCCAACAAATAATATATCTCGTCATATAATAGGGTTCTCGCATAACATTCTCCGATGATTGCCTCCGTGACCTCATCTCCAAACATTTGAGACACCCACGGTTAGGGCAGGAAAACTGGAATATGGAAAGGTATCGTCTTTCTGGCTCCGCTTTGCTCCAAGGTTTTGAAGTTCTCTCTTCTGACATCGTCGCTGTTATCTCCCCCTGCGTGGCTTCCGTTTTTCAACGGCGACCAAGTTTGTAAACTATACTATGGCTTCTCGACCAAACAAACAGTGTGGCGGAGAATGTTTTCCATTTGTTTCCATCGTTTAGTAGATGTGGCTCTATGATAAAGGGTGTGGGGAGGCGGGGGATAAATTGGAAGAAAGATAACTGTGCGAATGATGCGTGGCTGGCTGGTTGTCTGTCCGTTCGTCCTTCTATCTATCTATCTATCTATCTATCTATCTATCTATCTATCTATCTATCTATCTATCTATCTATCTATCTATCTATCTATCTATCTATCTATCTATCTATCTATCTATCTATCTATCTATCTATCTATCTATCTATCTATCTATCTGTCTGTCTGTCTATCTATCTGTCTGTCTATCTATCTGTCTATCTGTCTATGTGTCTGTCTGACTGTCTGTCTGTCTGTCTGTCTGTCTGTCTGTCTGTCTGTCTGTCTGTCTGTCTGTCTGTCTGTCTGTCTGTCTGTCTGCCTGCCTGCCTGTCTGTCTGTCTGTCTGTCTGTCTGTCTGTCTGTCTGTCTGTCTGTTCATAAGAGACAAGTGCGCTGAGGGATATTTGCGCTTTTTGACCAAACTAACTAAGATTTATCATTGCCTGTTCTATTATAAATTACACCCTTAGTTTAATTATATCATTCGCTGTTTTTTTTTCCCTGCTGATAATGGTACTAAGGCCGCAACTCCACCCGAACACTAGCGATTGTGATGTTTGTTCGTCTACTTTAATCGACCACTCTCATCCAAAGTATTAATGATCAATGATTATGAGTACGAAGGTGGCTGATTAGTCCAATATGAGTCAGGAAAGTTCTTGGACAGTGCGGACAACAGATGGACGCCGCAGTAAGTGTGGGATTAGCAGTGCGATTCTTTAGTCTGCCTCTGCTTCGCTGCCTGTGCAACATTCGCTGCCTGGCAGGCTGATGCGCCATGCCCGAGGGACGTACGCCATCCAGAACGGTCTTGCACAGCAGCCTCCCATGTCGCTGGGAAGAATTGAGAGCCTTCTTGAGAGTGTTCTTATAGCGCTTTTTGGGTCCCTCCCTGGGACCTCTTCCATTGCTGGAGCTCGCCATAAAATACTCTATTTGGGAGGCGATAGTCTGACATACAGGTTAGGTGACAATTCTTCAGTATCGTGTTGATGCTAGGTAGGTTTGCCATATCAAGAACCAAGATATTTGTGATCCTTTCTTGCCATCTGATTTTGTGCAACTTTCTGAGACAGGTTATATGAAACTGATTCAATTTTTTAGCATGACGCGGATACACAGTCCACGTTTCGCACGCGTAGAGCAGTACTGGGAGAATTCCTCCTTTGTAGACCTTTCGCTTGGTCAGCAGGGAGCTACCACTTCTGTTCCAGATTGTGATGTAAAGCTTATGTTATACATGCTACCATGTTACCTCCGGTAAAGAGCACATTTAAGTTAGCAATAAACTACCACACCAACTCATGCCCTCTACACGAGTGGGTAATAAACGGCAGCCAGCGAAACGAGGCTATGACGAGGAAAATAACACCGAATACACAACATATTTAAGACGTCGTAAAGTCGACATAGTACCAGCAAGGTGAACCTCCAGCTTAATACATGAGAGTGCCGGATATGGAAATCTGGGTCATTGAGGTGCCTCACATCTTTATCTTCTCACTCTTTTGCTGTTTATAAGCTCTTCCAGGCCTCGCAGCCAATTATTCCATTCTGGGGTACCCTGTGCAATCCTGTCAATATCATGACTGGAATAGAGCCCAGCACTTTAGACCTAAGCAACGTTCGTTTTAGAATTCCTCTTATTCCTCCCTGTTTCATCAAAAATATTTGTTTCTCGCTGCAAAACTCTCCTGTGTGTGCAGTTACCTTTATATTCGTCCCAGGGCATGCAATCGTTGTTGTTAATGAGAGAGCTGATAGACTGGCAGGTGCTGCATTAATTGAAGATTGCCGGCCCATGGATCACGCAGACATTGTCACTGCCCTTAGAGAGGTGGGAGATTCTGATGATTTTGGAAGCTGTCCACATCACTGCTAAGAATACGAGAATTTGGAATAATGATCGGCAAAGCCAAGCATGAGAAACACACCGGGTGCACACGAAGTCTTGTTAACCAACATAGGACTGGAACTATTCACCGTGTGACGCTGATGAATATGTTTAGAGGGGAATCTGAGCGGCCTGCGACTTCTTCACGTAATATATATATATATATATATATATATATATATATATATATATATATATATATATATATATATATATATATATATATATAAACATGCATCCGACTAATTGTTCATCGAATTCTTCAGACATTATGTTTTTTTTTTTTAGAACATATAACTTTTATTTCGTGTCTTTGACTGGCATATGCCAAATTATGTTAAAATGTGATAAATTGTTGCCTTGCTTAGCGCTACCAATCCCAGACATAAACCCTTACAGAAGTAATGAGCGCAAAAAGCACACAAATAGTTATATAAGGGGTTGGACTAAAGCAGCCTGGCTCAAGTGCGCACAAAAAAAAATAATGTTGCGGTATTAACTAGGAAATGATGCAGAGGAAAGTGACGACACGCATGCTTCGTGCAGTGTGGCATGCTTCGTGCAGTGTGGCATGCTTCGTGCAGTGTGGCATGCTTCGTGCAGTGTGGCATGCTTCGCTTTGGAGGTCACGGGTGTGGAGCATGGTGAAGATGTTTTCTCCAGGGCATGCGGGTGTGTTGGGAAAAGAGCAGACGGGCAGACCGGCTGGCTCTGCACAAGTTGGTGGAATACTGATGCATGATAAGGCAGACGTGGTCGAGGGTTTATGGGAGAATGTGCACAATTCGGAGGATCAAATGGATCAACAGAAGTCCGGTGAGAGTGGTGGAGTGACGAGGGGATCTGGCCGATACTTGACGCTCTGAGGAAAGGCAAGATGGACGTCTAATCGGATTGCTGCTGGCACCATTTGTATTGGAACTCTGCGCTGGCTGCTGCAGATGGAAGGGGGGGGGAACAGATCGCTTATGGGAATGCCCCGAGCACTGTAGTGTTGATTCTTGAATCAACTCAGCTCAGTTTGAATAATAATTATTCTTATTTGCTGAGTTGCAAATGAATACAATAAAATATTGTAAATAATGTGAAACATAAATAAACACAAACTAGTGCTTCTGTAGGTGGTTAGAGGATCCGCGTTGCTCCTCTTGCTCATTTTCAATCCGGAGTGTCCCCTTCCCTCACCCCTACTCGAAACAATGTATTGCGGTGAAAAGGATGTGGGGAGGGGGGGGGAGGGGAGGGACAATGTGTCGCGCTCCCGTATACCGGCACCTATTGATAGCTCATATTACTGAAACATGCCGACCTTAATCTGATTGTTGAATTTGATGATATTTCGTTTCACTTTTTTTCTGGATTTTTTTCAAATTCAGTTTTATTGTTTGTGTTGTGTATTATTACTGACATATGGGGAGTCATTCTCATCATTATGCTTGTAGCGATTGTTATACACATATGTATGACTGCATTCAAGTGGGTACTGTCTGTCTGTCTGTCTGTCTGTCTGTCTGTCTGTCTGTCTGTCTGTCTGTCTGTCTGTCTGTCTGTCTGTCTGTCTGTCTGTCTGTCTGTCTGTCTGTCTGTCTGTCTGTCTGTCTGTCTGTCTGTCTGTCTGTCTGTCTGTCTGTCTGTCTGTCTGTCTGTCTGTCTGTCTGTCTGTCTGTCTGTCTGTCTGTCTGTCTGTCTGTCTGTCTGTCTGTCTGTCTGTGTGTATTACTGGATGGGTGGATGGACGAATGAATGGATAAATGGATAGATGGATAAAGATACTGAGAAAATGAAGGATGGAGGGATATTCATATTACCTTGTACCACGATTAACATAACCTATTTACTGAACAGACTAAAAAACACTAAAAATCATCTGTGAAACGTGTGTTTAGAAGGGCTGAATGTTAGACTGGACTGCCTGCTCTATTTCCCTCTATTCCCAATCTGTTTCTTCTTTCTTCTAATTCCCTGTCCAATTTTCCCATAAAACAGGTTTTTAGTTTCCTTTTTGACACAAAGCCGCATTAATACCTGTATCTTTCATTCGCTTGCACTCGTTTTTATATTGTAGCCTTTCCCGTGTGGGTTTCGGGACCTCAATATTGGGAAAACAAGAATAGACCCACGGCCTCCCCAACAAGCATGTCGTAAGAGTCGACTAATTGAAGGTTTCCTTTGAAGTCGGGTTGCATCTGCATGAGAGGCAAGGAACAAACAGTCTACATACACATAAGAGAACTGTAAAACTGATGTGCAAGCAACACTCGGGTTCTGGGACAAGTCTAAAGTCCAGATGTGGTTGAACAACCAGAACTTTTCACCTTAGTTTACGCCCGGTGAACGTGAAGAAGAAGAAGAAGATATTATAGTTTAGGTTGACCTCTACATCTACCGATCTATAATTCATCGTAGGGCACGCTTATTCAGCTAGCGGCCAGAGTGCCAAATCCGGCCCGCAGAAATCTAGCAAGTGGCCCAATAATTACCTACTAATTGTATTGCATCAATAATCTTGTCTGTGGCATCCGACAATCCACATTTTCAACATTTTGGCCCTAAATACTAAGTAAGTCGAATGGCCCTGCCAGAAAGAATGTTTCTATGCACTCTGTCGTCGTCTACTGCAACTGTGTCATAACCACTCTAGCATTCGAATCCTAGGCATTAAGTATACCGTTGTGGTGCCTGCTCGTCCCAACACTTCAGTGTTTGTGATGTTGTCTTGCAACACTTTAAGACATCATTAAGCTGTTGGGCACTCATTATTTCAGCATCTTCCTATAGCGCCAGAGACGCAACAAAGAAAGGTGTATTTATAAAGCACCCGGCATTTAAACGGAGCAGGTTTGCCCTAATAAACGCCCCCATCGGGGATTTAATTAGAACAAATTTACAGTTAAAACGTCAGGCAGACACATGATAGAAATTAATTCCACAGGGTATGTGCAAGAAATGTCAAATCGCTGAAGTTGGCGTGACACCTTCCGGTCTGCTCGCTGACTGGAACGTGGGAGCAAATTAATTTGCTAAATTAGGTCACCTGCGAAGGAGCATGTTTTAAATTGAGACTGTGGAAGAGATTACGGTCGACAAACTTCCCTGACATTTGTACCTTGAATGGGGTCGGGTGTCTGAAAACAGAACGTATGAAAAGGTAGAAGGAAGTGCTATCTACCTGAATTACTTGCATGCTTCCGGTCAATATGGCGGACAGGCTTGGTAACTGTTTTGGACTCGAAAGCTTTTTGCTTTTGACATTAGTTAGCTATTCCATTTTCCCTTCATGTGCAGACTCAAAGGATATAGTTCCGTAGCGCAGCTACCTACTGGATTGCTTGGTGCGACACTGTGAGCTTTGGATTTCATTTAGGATACTTTTCGGTTGTGTCCAACATAGTTAATGGTATAAACTGTTGATTCATAAAATAGCGAATGACCAGTTGTCAGAGATCTGATGGTCCCTTATGCAAACAATCACCTGTGCAACTACTGATCTTTTGTTACTTCTGCCTCCATCGACGATTAGCTGCATTTTTAGTGTCGGACTGACTGTATTGGCGATCGTTACAGCTGCTTTATGCATTTAATACGTGTGCTACCCGTGTGGGTTCGGGTGTGCTACCAGTGTGGGTTCATGTGTGCTTCCCGTGTGGGTTCGGGTGTGCTACCAGTGTGGGTTCATGTGTGCTACCCGTGTGGGTTCGGGTGTGCTACCCGTGTGGGTTCGGGTGTGCTACCCGTGTGGGTTCGGGTGTGCTACCCGTGTGGGTTCGGGTGTGCTACCCGTGTGGGTTCGGGTGAGCTACCCGTGTGGGTTCGGGTGTGCTACCCGTGTGGGTTCGGGTGTGCCATGGGAGAGAAAATATCTACGGCCCCTGACATGGATGTCGTAGGAGTAGATCATTTAGGGATATCCTTCGCAGTCAAACTGCATCTGCCTGAGATGTAAGGAACCAACAGTCTGCATTCAGTTAAGCCAGATATGTAAAACGGTTATGCGTGCACAACTCAAGTTCATGAACAATTCCAAAGTCCAGAAGTGGACGAACACCCAAAACTTTCCTCCGGAGTTTGCAGCCGGTGAACACGAAGAAGAAAAATTAGGAGGATGAAGAGAAAGGGGTAGAAGAAGATGAATAAAGAAAAAGTGGAGCAGAGGAAGAAGAAATAGATGAAGAAGAAGCCTGATAGCTAAACTTGACTAATACTCAATGATGCAACAGTCTTAATTTCATCGACTCCGGACAGGTATTATACTAATCTACTTTACAAATGTACCTATTATAATCACCTCCTTCACATCTTATATTCATCTACTTTAGATATATTTTATTGATCTACTTTAAATAATATATTCACCTACTTTAGATATTCTGTTAATCTACTTTAGACATTGTATTCACCTACTGTACATATTCTATTCATATATTTATGCTTTGTTTTTATATTTTGTTTTTTATTTTTTTATAAACTTGTCTTGGAGTTTTCGGATACTGGCATGAGAGTGTCACTGTGGAAGAGATTGTAGCTCGTCAAGTTATATTCCAAAATATAGCAGTGGCTACAATATGGTCAGCCTCCAATGTGGAGACGGCATTACATATTTTATTAATTTACTTTACATGTGAAAGTATTCTACTTAACATAATATATTCATCTCATCATCATCATGTAGCAGGTCACTTATATCCTGTACCCATCTTCGTGTCGGTCGGCCCCTGCCCCTCCTTCCTGGTACCATGCCTTCTTCAATGTTTTTCCAATCCGTCGTGGCGCTATATTCATCTACTTTACATATTATACAAATCTAGCTACTTTACTCAAATTGCTACTGCGAACCATTTTATCCCACATTACTATTACATTAACCAACTCGTGGCCTACGTCCTGATTACTCGTAAGAATTCTCCTTGTAAAAATAAAGAGTTAAAATAACAACTGGATACGGCAGAAATAGCGATTCTATTACTCTGGTGGCATTCCTGCTTTTTATAACGTCCCTGTATTGAAATTCCCCAAACTGGTATACCAAGATTTCAGTTGGACAAAGGAAAGCAGGTAGAGACCGTTCTTGCTATGCGATGCCTGTCTTAATAGCACTGCTCAATGTCTGCAGCAAAGACGACTACCATACCATGCGTTAAGTGTAGCAGGCGCTAAAACACACAACTTGAAGCCATCACCCACAAACCGGATCCTCCTCTGACATTTGCCAGACTACTCTACTTGGAAGAGATGCTATCCGCTGAGAGTGTCTTCCCTTTCAAGAATCCGGGCGATTTAAATATGGCGACGGCGAGCTATTTATAACGGCAACATGGAACAACATATGTGTGGTGGTGGTGGTGGTGTGTGTTTGTGTGTATGTACGTGAGAGAGAGAGAGAGAGAGAGAGAGAGAGAGAGAGAGAGAAGGTAGGGAATGTCACACTATGGCTTACAATTGGGATGTACATTCATTTTACTATTTAGGTGAATGATTATATTATTTGATCTGTTCGTTCCTATTCAGAAATTTTGATGACTTCTGCATTCATCCGAAAACATAAATGCGTTGTGCCCGTTTGCAACATGGGTGTAATATTTGCGCTTTTCAGCCGACACGTCCGACTTCTGTAGGCAATTGTTGTTCGGGCGACCTTCCCGGAAATTTAGATTCAACATTCATTCGAATTTCTAACGCAAGATTCCGTCTTGCCAAAAGCACTGAGACTGCCATTTTGTCACATGGCTGTTTGTGAAACTGCGGCTGGTAAATCGCACAACTGATATTTTTTCGTACGTACTGTCTCTTTAGTATACTCTTCCTATTCCGCCATTTTTGTTTCTCTCCAAATCAGCATCCTCTTCTTTATCATTATCAGATTCTTTTTTTCCGCCCCTCTTTTTCATGCTCCAGCGGAAAGTTAAAGTGCCAATATTCTATACACCCCCCCCCCCCCCTACAACCCCCCACCCCCCTCAGATCTCCCCATATCATCTAAAATACCCTAGTGTTTAGTGTTTGATGTTCTGTACATTTATTTACAATTTAAAATGATGTGCCGTCTTCACAACAAAAGCCCTGCTGTGCCACTGTCGTCTCTGGGAATATTGCGTAGTGAGGCCCCAATCTCTACCAGATCGAGACTCTCGTACTATTGTCCGAAAACCACAGGAACAGTTTTGAAACCTTCCCTTGGCGTCTGTGGCTTATGCGTTAGGAAGGAGTTTCGCAATACCACGGTGCCAGGATCGATCCAGCTGCGGACGATTCGTCGTGCGGTGGTTTCGACGCTGGTATCGAGAGATGACCGATTACAACAACTTGCTGGCTTTGGTTCTGCAACGCCATGTAAAGGGACGTAACTAACTTAGCTAACCGTCTGTGGCTTGGGCGAAAACGTTTTCTAATGCTGGAATGCCAGGTGCGATCCCAGCTGCAAGTGATTAAGCAGCAAACCGCCTTGCGTTAGTGTCAACAGTGGTGTGGATAGCCAACCTTTTAAAACAGCTGAACATAAATTTCCCAGAAAATGCTGCGTTTGGTTCTGCAACGCCCTGTCAAGGGACGCAACTAAATTATTGCGGAGAACACACACTTTTTCTCGGGAACCATGAAATTGTTAACCGCATTCACCAGCCTCAAATCTACGAGCCCGCAGTCTGTCAACTGAATACGTTAGGCTCATATTTGTATAAATCAACTGGACCTCGCAGGAGCATGGGGGGTCAGCATCATGACGAACGTCTGTAGCTCCTATTTTAAGCAACGTTGACTGGAAACCAAGGTCAGTTTATGAAAGTGAAAGTCCTTCTCCATGTAGAGTCCACGAGCTCCAGGCCTGAAGGCCAGCGTGTTACTGCGGCGTCCCCCAGTAAGTAGGTTAAGTAAAAGACCTTTTTACACAAGTCGCGCACTGGGTATATTGGGCTAGATTCGTGTTATGTTCTCAGAAGTGGTCTCACTGCACATCGGGCATTCCCGTGCCTGCTCAGTCTTCCGATTGAAGCAGCCACTCCAAGGCACTCCAGTGAAGTTTCCTTTTTCTGTAAGGTCACTGACGACACAAATAGCGACAGCATTGAAGAGGAAGTTGGAATAAGGCCGTGTCTGAATTGTAGTGACCAACAAAGAATGGAATGGTTCGGTCACCTAGTGTGTAGCCAGGCCAAAATGGATATGACAGTGTTTTAAATAAAGAACATCTGGGATGATGGCGACAGAAAGATCAAGATGGTTTAGCTGAAACCTGCAAAAAAGATAAAGAAATCCTTCACCCAAGCCACTCGAGAAGCGCCACATAAATTCACAAAACCACGACACTGGGCTACAACCTGGTATCAATGAGACGCGAAAACCACGACACTGGGTTACAACCTGGAATAATGAGACAACAAAACCAAGACACTGGGCTAGAACCGGGTATCAGTGAGACGACAAAACCGCGACATTAGGCTACTAACTGGTATCAGTTGAACGACAAAACCACGACACTGGGCTACAACCTGGTATCAGTGAGACGACAAAACCACGATACTGTGCTACAACCGGGTGTCAGTGAGACGATTTGAACAGTTTCACTGATTAAATAAGGAAGGTTTTGAATGTAAAATTATGACAAAATTTTATTCCTGTCAGTAACTATACGTTGCTTTTCTGTTGTGTTGTCAGTAGTGTATTTTCAAATCCCTAATTGGTATATATGTTGTGGTCAACAGGCGAAGGCTACATCCGGCTGGACCTGGTTATGAAGAACATCAGCAGGTACAGGAGCCAGGTGGTGCGGCTCAGGTGTGAGATCACCGGCAACCCGATCCCTAATTACACCTGGTACAAAAATGACCAGCCCTTGACCAACACGGACAACAAACGGGTCAATGCCAAGGCCACAACCTGGGGTTCAAGGTAAGCTACTTACTATTTTTTTTTTTTTTTGGGGGGGGGGGGGGGCCTTACTAATTTGAATATATTAAATACCTAGCTTTTCGTTCCCTCTGTCACTGGTAGTCGGCTCTGTGGCTAAGTCGATGCGAACGCTTCGTAATGCAGGGATGCCGGGTTCGATCCCAGCTGCGGGCAATGCGCCTTGCGTTGGTTTCGACAGTGGTATCAAGAAAGCCGACCGTCCAGGGGCAATGGCAAACTACTGGACGTAAATTTGCCTAGAAATACCACACAACAGCCAGGGGCTGTTAGGGTTGGTTCTGCAACGTCCTGTAAAGGATACGCAACAACCTGTCACTGGTTCCTAAATGAAACAGCTACAGGACTCTATAAAGTCTAAGGTACGGGGCAGGTCCTTCACTGATCCACACCGCTTTGGTTCCCACCGGAGAGCAAACTGGCCAGTCCAGTAATCTTTCTTCTTCATAGTCCATGCCGTGTGACGTTAGTAATCGTGCACGTCCACAATCTTCTCTTTCGAGTTCTTTCAGTCAGTTCTGACACAGATGGCTTTCCATGCCATGATGTCAGACTACCCAGCATCGGTTCTCTTGGTCTCATTCTGCCTCTTTCTTCACCAGCTGTCCCACTGTCATGATGTACTTCGGTATTCTTCTTATCCTGACATGACAAAAACATGTAGATTCCTCTGTTAAGTGCAGTTAGTTCTCTTAGCGAGTCAGTTTCTTTTAAGACATATCCATTACTTTCTTTTATTACCCAATTTATTCTTGTGATTAGTATATAAAACCAGACTTCCGCCGCTTTTAAATATGTTTTCTCTCACTAATTCTCTAATTGTTCACAATTTCTTCGATATATGATATGATGTACATAGCTCTTGAGAATTCTCCTATTTGTTTCGATTAACAAAGAGAGATTTCATGGAATACATATATTCTTCATTATGTAAAATGCCGTCTTGATTTGAGTTATTCTTATTTAACCTTTTTGATACATCTTCCCTCTGATGTTGTCAGGCTACCCAGGCACTTTAATGTATCAACTTGCTTGGGTATAGTTGCAACAACTTTGATGCTACCCTTTAGCAGGTCCACTTTATTTGTAAATATGAGCGTTCTACTTCTACTGCAGTCAAATGCCATTGAACAGTTGCATTTTTTAGGGTCTGATTGCGAATGTAAAGTCAAGGGTCCTTTTTAACACCTTTAGGCACATTAGGCATGTAATTAGAACTAGATCTATATGTTATATTCCAAATGGCACTCGAATGGTGATGTGGTCAAAATTACGCCGGCCGTCTGTACTTCTCAGTGCCTTACCTATTACATATTCAAAGCTGAGATGACCATTCTTTTTTTATTTTTATTTTTAAGTCTGGTTCCGTGAGGACTTGAACCCACGATCTTCGTTAAACACACACGTAAGTGGTGGGCAGCTCAGAATACGCCCATCTGTAAACTCAAAACAAAACGAACCAAAGTTAGGATTGTGGAAAGCGGGAGGAGGACGAGGAAATGTGGCTAAATATCCAAGCCGCTTGCCCGAACGTTGTGGCTTCCTTACAGCATCCTTCTGCTCAAGGGTGCAGTTTTTACGGATATCCATGGAGATAGTCGCTGGAGCAATGGAGTCTGTGTCTTCTGTGACGTCGTTGGTAGACATATTTATTCTGGAAAGAGAGAGGGGGAGGGAGAGAGAGAGAGAGAGAGAGAGAGAGAGAGAGAGAGAAAACCGAAAAAATGAACGAACAAACGAAACTTTTTTTTCAAAGGGTCACAAATTAGGCACGGTGGCCTGTCTTCAACCCTTCCAATCTTCCATCTGTCACACAGCAGGTGTATTTTATCAATAAGAGAGAGAGAGAGAGAGAGAGAGAGAGAGAGAGAGAGAGAGAGAGACATATAGAATAATCCTAGTTACAAAAAAAAGGTAGTTACGAATCCTTTACAGGACGTTACAGAACCAACTAGGCATTTTTTGGCAGTTGTGGTTTTACCAGGCAAATTTTACGTTCAGTATAAACCTAGTGCACTAAAGTATAGATAGTGCTGTTCTTTGCTGTTTTCCCTTTCTTCCCGTTCACTGACTGTAAACTCTAGTGGAAAGTTCTACCGTTTTACGCCGGTGGCGTATTTTGTGCAGACTATTGCTTCCTATCCTCTTTGGCAGATGAACTCTGACTGTAAAAGTCACGCCCCTAATTAGTAGTCTTAAGCAGTGGGTCTGTGATGCCCTTCCCCCCCCCCCCCGTTCACTATCATCCCTCCCCCACCCCACTCCACCCGACCCCACCCCACCCCCTAAAGTTAAGCAGCGGAACTAATGCAAGACCTTCTTTGTTATAGTGCTGCATAGACCAGTCAGTGTTGTTATCACCCAGGAACAGGTTTGCCTACTCTACCTACCGATCTGTGGGTAATGAGAAGACAGAGCTGAAGATTTTGACTTCATATGGAAACTCCAGAGTTTACTTCATCTTGAATCTAAATCTAAACTCTTTTTTTTTAAACCGGAAATCTTCGGGAAAACTGATTTACACAGTCACTATTTATTTTTAGAGATAAGAAGCATATGCATTTCAATTTTTTAAGAAAAATCACGTGAAAAAAGTTAAAACAAGGAGTGAAGAAAACGGAACAGCAAACATCTTTAAATACATTCCCGTTATTTTACGCTTCAGTGTTAGTAAAACAATATCGCCATCTGTAATGGATTTATTTACTGACTGATCGAGTCCAGAGTGATCACCTTCTGATTGACTTAATTAGATACTGACATCTGATAATCAACAGTTTATGGCTGTCTAATTCATTGCTTGGAGAATGTTCGTTTAATTACCTTGTCAGCGACAGGAAGGAATTGTAGATAATGAGGAGATAACCCATCAAGGGAAATTTAAAAAAACTTTTTTTTTCAAACGTACGGGCCTCGCGTTTCTATCATTGCTGTGAGATATATATATATATATATATATATATATATATATATATATATATATATATATATATATATATATATATATATATATATATAGTATGTGTGTGTGCTTTTGTAAAAAAAAAAAAAAACTTCTTCTTACTTAGTGATAAAATTAAATTGCCTTGTTTCCTTTTCCTGATTCTCCGAGGCTTCCTTCTACTTACCCGTTGGTATATCCAGTTTCATCTTTTTCAAGATAAAATTTTTTGTTATTCGAAGCCCTACTCTGGCTTTTGCCAGGGGCCGCAATATAGCCTGGCCGTAAATATGGCCTAAAGGCTGAACGCGGTTTCTGTGACCTCTCCACGGTGATCCTCACCCGCATGGTGGCAAATTGTGTCATCGGGTGTTTATCGCTTGTGTGATGTCCTGGTGGGTTAGAAAGTCAGTCAGTCAGTCAGTCAGTACTTACCCGCAGATGACACGGGGTATATCCGGTCTATGTTCTGTATTTAGGTGTTCTAATTATAGATTCTGTCACATATCACTCCTGTCACGTGCCTGATTTAAGGATTTTTTCTTAAGAACCAACAGCACTCTGAAATAATTATGTTGAGTCGGTGGCTCGTATTGGTCCAAGGGATATCCCATGCCCAATATACGCTCAACTTATTTCAGGAGTAGGGCAACTCAAGCTTTGGCACTACAAAATATATAATATTCCTAGGCACACTTGGCTGGACACCCCCACTACTATAAAAAGGTAGCCCCCAGGTTATGATAGTATACTATCATAACCATGTTAACACAGATGCAGATTATTACTGAACATACATGTATTTTAGACAGTTAAGACAATGAATGAGTGACACTCCAGTCAATAGTGAAACTTTAAAAATACTGTAATAAGTGTAACACATACATTATATAAGAATCAGCAAAGAACTTCAAGAACCCAGAGAGATATGACGGACCAAAACTTCAAACTCGATCTGACTGAACGTGTATGAATGCTCCAGAGTCTGCCTAGATCATCCTTATGATGAGTGTGGACATTTAATAGTGAAGCCTGGCAATAAACCCATGATTGCCCACACTTATCTGAATCCCTGGTTTCTTGAACTGGCTGGATGTTCAGTCACTCTGTTGTTACGTTCAAGACAGTCCCTCACTAGACACTCGAACACTGGAGATACACCCAAGCTCCTGGAGAGAATCTCAGGTACCAAGTCAAACACTTGGGGGCACAAACAAACTGCCGGATAACTGATGATGGAGGTACAACACCCATAATGTTGTCTGTAGACCAACTGGAGGATTTCATTACTTGATGACCACCGTTAGGTTTACAATCTGATGCCCACCACTGGCTTAGACATAGGTGACTTCCTTGTAGGTGGTTTTGTGGACTGCTGATTCACTGCCTGGCCTCCAAGGAGATATCATCCTGGATCAAGAAGGAACTCATAATTAGCAGTCATCTCAGGGGTTACATGTCAAGCTCAGTTTATTAACATCCACATTAGTAATCATTCAGAGGACAGCTCTGAGGATAATGAGACAGTATAAGTCTCTACATATCATCTCTATTGTTCAGTCAGTAATAGTGACAGGAGATGAGTGTCAGAGTGGAGACAGATAGACTATCAACCAGAGAACATCAACTCTCCTCGCCCACACACAGTTGTAGATATACATCCCATCTCTCTCTCATATATATATATATATATATATATATATATATATATATATATATATATATATTAATTATACCATCCCCCGTCTGTTCACCGTACACACTTTGTTGTGCTAAAAATAACCTTTGACTCAGAGCGCCATGCTTGCTTTTGTCACAGTATCAAGCCGCCCAAAGATGACCCAGTTTACATGTGTCTATTAGGTCTATTAGTCGACTCAAATCCTACGTTTGGTTATAGAATAATTGCTTGTAGGGTTTAATATCTTTACAAATGGTGTGGGTTATGTAGAGCACAGACTATTTAGTCTGCACAGGGAAAGGTTTAATGTTCGGAGCCTGATCTCTGGACATCAAAAACGGCCCAACTCTGTGCGATCAC